CAGATGTTGTCTGGAACAGGCAGAGGCAAATAGAGGCCGGTGTTTTGGCTGTGCCCCTTCGCACGTTGGCATACCCCACACCGCCGGACAAAGTTAGTTATTTCCTTCCGCATATGTGGCCAAAAAAATTGGTTGGCGAGGAGCTCATAGGTCCTGTCCCGCCCCGGATGAGCTGCTAGTCCGCCTGCGTGCAACTCTCTGATCAAGTGCTCCCGAAGGGACGAATGAGGAACGCAAAGCTGACCTCCCTTCAGCAAATATCCGTGTTGGATATGGTAATCGGGGATTCGGTCTCCAGCAGAGCAACACACTCACAGAGCACCAAAATCCTCATCATCGGCATATTGGTCGCGCAAGCTTTCGAGGCTGGTTACTTCAGTCGCTAAAATGGTGAGCAGATGCGGTTTGTGACTGAGGGCGTCCGCCCCTTTGTTTGACTTTCCAGACTTGTGCTGGATCACAAAGTTGAACCGTTGTAGGTAAAGGGCCCACCTAATGTGCATTCGGTTGGTTGTCTTCTGAGAGTGGATGTACCGTAGAGCTTGGTGGTCACTATGGAGGACAAATTCCTTAGAGAGGAGGTATGGCTCCCAGTGTTGCAGTGCCCGTACTACAGCAAAGAATTCTTGCTCGTAAGTGCTCCATTTGCGTCTGGTCTCACTGAGTTTCTCACTAAAAAATTCGATTGGCCTCCCATCCTGAGTGAGTACTGCTCCAATGCCAACCATGGAGGCATCAGTTTCGACCTCAAAGACCTTGTCAAAATTCGGCAGGGCCAGGACTGGTGTAGTGCTGAGCTTCTCTTTGACAGTAATGAAGCTCTGTTCTTGTTCGGTCCCCCAAGTGAACCGGTCCCGTTTCAAGCAATCTGTGATAGGAGCTATAAGGGTGCTAAAGTGCCGAATGAATCACTGATAGAAGGTGGCCAGACCATGGAAGCTGCGAACTTCATGCACGGTAGTGGGAGTTGGCCAGTTGCGGATTGCTTCCACTTTACACTCATCCGCTTCAATGCCCTGCACACTAATCACAAATCCCAGAAAAGGTAATCTAGTGGTAAGGAACTCACACTTCTTAAGATTGAGGAAAAGCTTGTGTTCCCTCAAGGCTGCCAGCACCTCCCTAAGTTGCAACACGTGTTATGTAGGGTCCTTACTGTAGATTAAAATGTCGTCAAAGTAAACGACCACAAACCGCCCGATAAAAGGTTTGAGAACTTGGTTCATGAGCTGCATAAAGGTACTCGGTGCGTTACAAAGGCCGAAGGGCATAACTTGCCACTCATACAAACCCTCCCGCGTCTTGAAGGCGGTTTTCCATTCGTCCCCCGGCCGGATTCGAATTTGGTGGTAGCCGCTTCGTAGGTCAAGCTTGGAAAACACTTTCGAGCCGTCAAGTTTGTCAAGCATATCCTCAAGGCGTGGAATGGGGAACTGATACTTAATGGTTATCTTGTTTATGGCTCGGCTATCGACGCACATCCGCCAACTACCATCTTTCTTGGGTACTAACAGAGCCGGGATGGCGCACGGGCTCAGGCTAGGCCGAACGAGTTGTTTTTGCAGTAGGTCTTCTACCATCTGTTGTAGGGTATCATGTTTGAGGGGCCCCATCCGATAATGTGGGAGGTTTGGCAGGCTTGCACCGAGAGTGAGATCGATGCAGTGCTGGATCTCCCTCATTGGGGGTAGCTCTTCAGGTAGCTCATCCGGAGTGAGGTCACTGAATTCTTTCATTAGGGCCTGTACCTCTTGGGGAATAGGAGCAGAAACTGCCTCCATCCCCTTTGCAACTAGGGCCAGGATCACCTTTGCATCTCGGATGTCTTGCTCGAATGGTTTCCCTGGGGTGGTAAGGAATAGTCACCCCTTGTGATCACCCTGGGCAGCGACCTGCGCTTGAGGGGGAAGCGGCATTAAAGCTATCTTCTTGCCGAGCCAGGAGAATTCATAACAGTTAGTCCTGCCATCATGCTTAGCGTTCACGTCGAACTCCCAAGGTCGGCCAAGAAGGATGTGTGATGCATCCATCTCGATGACATCACAAACGACAACATCTTGGTAGTGTTTGCCAATGGAGAAAGGGACCTTGCAAATAGTGTCGACCGAAGCTTCGACCCCTTTCTTGATCCACCCAATCTTGTAGGGTTTGGAGTGTTTCTCGGTAGTGAGGTTAAGGGCTTTGACCAAAGCCTTCGAAACGAAGTTGTCGCTGCTGCCACTGTCAATAATTAAGTCACACACTTTCATGTTGACGGTGCAACGAGTCCGAAAAATGGAGTGACGTTGGTTCGCGCTGTGTTGCTTTGGTGACAGCAAGATTCTTTTTACCACACAAGCGATTCGGTCTCCCTCATCTCCGAATACTTGTTCTACCCCTTCGAGTTCTTCCTCAATTGCCTCAACTTCCTCTTCTTCGTTGACAACCCCCAGCTCACTGATGAGGTTGATTAGTTTGCGAAGCGGACACTCGTTAGATCGATGTCCCGGCTTGTTGCAGCGGTAGCACTTCCCTGTTATGGGCCGGGCATAGGGGTTATTAGCCACTTGGACTGAAGGGAGCTGTGCCGGGGCAGTTGTCTTCTGATTTTCAATGGGGCCTTCCTGTGAGGTGCTGTCAGTGGGCGTGGCAAAGGTTCATATGTACCCTCTCGCACCAACGGGTGCTCCACAAAGCGGCGATACGGCTGAGTTCGATTTCCACTACGGGACTGTTGGGCCTCGACTTTGTAGGCCAAAGTGATTGCTTCGGTGAGGTTCCAAATAGGTCTCAGCGTAAGTTGGTCCTGGATGCTCTCCCTCAACCTTCCGACGTACCTAGCGATTTGCTGGTCCTCTGACTCTGAGAGATTGTTGCGAGCGTTAAGTCGGTAATACTCTTCAGTGTACTCTCCTATGCTTCGGCCCCGCTGTGAACAGCGCTGGTATTGCCGAAACAAAGTCTGCTCAAAGTTATTCGGCAAGAACCGTTGCCGCATCAATTGTTTCATGAGAGCCCACGAGCGAACCGGTGGCCGTCCGTCTCTCTCCCTGTTCTTGCTAATGGCAATCCACCAAGCGGCAGCCCCTTTAGTCAGCTTAGAGGCCACAAACTTGGTTTTCTTATCTTCCGGTACAGTCATATATTCAAAGAAGTTATCTACCTTATGTTCCCAGTCGAGGTAATCCTCGATATCCAAATGCCCATCAAAGCTGGGCAAATCCAGCTTAAATCAAAAATCAGAATTTCGGTCTCCATGAAATCGAGTGTGTCGTGGTTCATACCTGGTGCCTCGGTTGACCCAAGGGCCAAAGTCCTCTTCGAAGTCCAATTCCGGTGGCGCTGGTCGTGGCGGTGGAGCTGTGGCATCTCCCGTCTCCAACTCGTCAAGCTCGTCGTTCAGCTCTGCAGGTCGTCGGAATGCGCGCGGGCCTCTGTTCACAGGCGGTGGAGTTCGCGTGACTTCCCGCTCTCGTGGCGGTGGTGGGGCGTCCCTCCGTTGGTTGGGTGTGGCCACTCCGATGTGGGCTATGACTTGCTGGAGGTTGCGATTGAGGAGTTCAAAGCTAACCTCAAACTTCTGCTCAAGTTTTGACACGGCGGCCCAGAGGGCTGGAATGTTTCGATCATCGTCATCAATCCGGTGAAGGCTGGCCTCGCCGGTGGTCATCACACCTTGGGAAAGCCTTAGCTCTGATACCAAACCTGGTGTAGGCAGCGGGTGTTTCTCTGGCTTAAACCAGATGGGGTCAGCCGTGCAAGCTTAGTCCCTAAAAACCAGAGAGTAGTGTGCTAAACAAGACAGCGATTGGGCTGAACAAATTAGGTTAATTTCATTACCCTCAACATTCGACAACTCAACTATATATAGCTGGTGTATTACATTAAGCAAACGACATGCTAAAACTTAAACGACAGGAAGAAAAAAAAGGAAATACATAAATGACAAAGCTTAAATGACAGGCAAGAACTTAAACGGCAATAAGAGCTCCTACATCAATTCATTTACGTATTCATCCATTTAAATATGAATAAGAATAATGCTAATATCGTCTAGTCCAAATTATATTATTTTCATTAGGTACTTGACTTTAGGATCTGTACGCTAGTATAGTCTATTCGAGCTTCATTTGGTAAACGCCCTGGAAAGAGAGAAGTTTAAACTTAAAAGATGCGAAGAAAAGAAGAAAACTATGGAGATGGGAACATAGAAAAGCTTGCCTCTCAAGATCTCGTTGTTCTCCGTTTCAGTTTCCCAGAACTATAAATAATCAATGAAGCAGGTTATTATCATATTTTTCTTCTCTCTTATCTGCTTCCATAATTCCTTGGCAGCTGATGACACCATAAAACCAAACCAAACTCTCCAAGACACCGGTCAAACTCTGGTCTCCACCGGGGAAAAATTCGAATTAGGCTTTTTCAGTCCACCTAATTCCAAGAACCGCTACGTGGGAATATGGTTCAAGAATGTTTCAGATCTCACGGCCGTCTGGGTTGCCAACAGAGGCAACCCTCTCACAGACTCGTCTGGTGTCCTCAAAATCACCGAAACCGGAAATATAATAATCCACAGCAACAAAACAGAGGACCCTATATGGTCCTCAAATTCATCAGCAAAAGACCCCACTTTGCAGCTCTTAAACACAGGAAACCTCGTGGTTAAAGATGGCAGTAACGGAAACTATACATGGCAGAGTTTCGATCATCCCTGCGATTCGCTCATTGCGGGTATGAAGCTGGGTAAAGACTTCATTACTGGTCAAAGTTGGAAGCTAACCTCCTGGAACAGCCTCCAAGATCCATCCATCGGAACCTACACATACGAATCAGACCCTCGTAGGCTTCCTCAGGTACTTCTGCTCAAAGGCAAAGATATTGTGTACAGAAATGGGCCGTGGGATGGTGTACAAACAGGCGGAGACACTCCTCTCCAGGAAAATGCGGTCTTTAAACCCAGCTATGTTGTGAATGAAACCCATGTCTACTATACCTTCGACAACGCGGACAATTCCACGGTCACCAGGTTCTGCTTGAAGCCATCGGGATCTCCTGAGCAGCTCCGGTGGAACCAAGAGAACGAAAAGTGGGTTACCATCTACGCGGTGCAGAGAGATGATTGTGACAATTTTGCGCGTTGTGGTCCTAATGGAATCTGTGACAGCAGTGACAGCCGTGCTTGCCATTGCCCAACTGGTTTTGTTCCAAAAGTACAGGAAGAGTGGGATGCAATGGATTTTACCAGTGGATGTGTGCTAAAAACACGCTTGAACTGTAGCGAAAGCGAGAGGTTCAAGAAGTTCTCTCGGATGAAGTTGCCGTACAATTCGGAATTTACGGTGAACGGATCGGTGGTGAGGAAGGAGGATTGTGAGTTGATTTGTAGGAGAAACTGCTCTTGTGTGGCTTATGCTGTGGCTCGGCTTGCTGGCTGTGTAATCTGGTCTGCGGACTTGCTTGATATGAAACATTTCAGCGATGGTGGACAAGATCTCTACATTAGAATGGCTGCTTCTGAATTTGGTAAGTCTAGCTTCTTTGTTCTCAAATTTTCAAGTAATTTAGTTTGAAGTGCAGAGCAAGTATAATTAATGTATTTCATTTTTTAAGTAAAAACTTGTGTTAGATGCTATGCATCTTTTTTTTGCTTTTTTTTTTTTTTTTTTTGAAAGATATGCATCTTATTTTTCATAACTAGATATATTGCATTTTATTGTCTTTAATGGAAACTGTGTGCCTAAGAACACAAAGTTAACTCTTACTTCTTGGGTTGTAGAAAGAATTTTTTGGGATAATAGTAGAAGTTTGAAAAATCATTCCCGAGAACGTTGTTTTTATCTTTTGGCACTATATTATACTTTTGTGGTCCTTACCTATTTTTTACTCAATTTCTTGAAGAAAAAAATATTTATATTCTTACTACAGCAATTACTTTTCTTCTATGTTATGCTTTTTTTCCTATTGACTTTTTAGCTATATTTACGGCACGTGAATGAGAAAGGGTCAATGCCGTGTTTTTCTTTTCCTTTTTTTTTTTTGAAAGGGATAATATATTCTAAAATATGAAAAGACTTTATAAATACTAATTTATACAAAATAGCCTCTACTTGCTATACGAAAAAGGGCACCATAGATAACTGGTTTTATCAGTAAATTTGAATAAAGCTTAAGGAAAAAGAGTGTATACTGAACTCCACAAATGAAAATCGCTCAAAGAGGTACGCAAAAAATCAAGTACATGCATAGTTCTTTGACAAATCCTCTATAGTCGATAGAAACAATCTGCTCAACCGATGTCGAGAAACCCATAGCATGAAAGTTAGACAGAAACCGCAAAGAAACATATCTTGCGGATGAAAAAAAATAATATAAACTAATTAGGCTAAGAACCATTGTAATTACAACCAAAAAGGAAAAAAAAAATGCACAAGCTAGAACATCAAAACACCAAGGAAAGCAAGGTCCCACAACACCAGCAAAACAAACCAGTAGAAAGACAAGTGGTTGGTAAACACATGTAGGCGATAATCGGCATGTGCACTACAAGATGACTGAATTTCTTTCACATAGTACAACCTCCACGGGGTAGGTCAAGATGAAGAACGGCGCATCTAAAAACGCCTCAAGTCCATAGACGATCCCATCCCTACTTTAAATTCAATCCGGCAATCGTTCTCCTTCACGGATGGCACGAACCTCACCCTAAACTAAATATCCGATAACGAGCTTGTAGATAAATTTTGATGGCCAGAGGTCCAGTGATACATCGAGCCCCTGGCCATGAAACTCTCTCTTTTTCCCCTCTCTCCCTCTATGGTTTTGCTAGGGCCGGCTGCAAGATACATTTTTTTTCCTATTTAATTATTTGTTTACTTATAAAATTAAGATCAATAGTAGTTTAATTCTGGCTGCACATGATAGAAAATGAGGGGGAAAAAAATGCTGATCCTTACACCTATAATAAGTTCGCGTATTACAAGTCAATAATTATTTGGTTATGTAAAGAATATTTAAACAATTATATTCCTAAGGTTCTTATTAAGGAATTAGATATATATATATATATATATTTTTTTTTTTCATTCCACCTCGTAATAGATAAGTAACTGAGAATCAATAACACTTATTATTACTTATTTACTTTCCTTTGCAAATTCATATATACCTTTGTCATAAATATTAGACTATTACGGTTTTGTAAACGTGCTCTTAATGCATTCATTAATATGTTGTGGTTGTTTGTAGGCACAAAATCAGACAATGGCAAATTGATTGCTGTGATCATATCACAAGTTTTGGTGTTTCTTCTAGTTTGTTTAGTGGGTGGATATGTCATCTATAAGAGAACATCTTGCTCCCTTATTAGCCAAGGTAAGGTATAATAATATTTTTTTTAGTAATATCTTTTCCATGAACAAGACATAATATCTTTTTACTAATAACTAATTAGCATAAAAGTTTCAAGAAGAATATTTTTTTGGTTTATACTCTGTAGTCCAATAAAATACTGTACAATTTGTACGCAACTGGTGTTCTCACAGAAACTTCAAAAACAAAAAAATTAAAAAATTAAAAAAATTAATCAGCTGAAAAATTCATCAAGATATAGTCTAAAACGGCATGAAATCGTATGGTTTTTTTTCTTCCTTCTTTATTACGCTCTTTAATTTCATGAATAATAAACAGTTTTGGTTGAAGCAAGTAAAAAATAGGCTTCATATGTGCTAGAAGGATTTTGAAAAGAAGACACGACAACTATAAAAATGCTGCGTGCTTAGAAGTTATTTAGATTTAAGAGCAGTACATCATGAACATGTAGTTCCCCATTTAGTTCTATATAATAGGTAAAGTCTCCAATCCGGTACCGGATTGGAGCGGCATATATTTTTTTTAAAAACTTGTATATTTTATCATCGGCACATGTATATTTCTTCTAAAAATATGTATATAGATGTTTAGATAAATTATTAGTGTATACATGCTTTAAGAGGAAATATATATATGCTGAAGAGAAAATATACATATTTTTAAAGGAAATATACTTGTGCCGCTCCAATTCTGCATTAGAGACAATTCATATATATATATATATATATAATTCGTTGATAACTAGTATAGGTATCCACGCCTTTGACAGTCCAAACAAACAAACATGTATCGAGTAGAATTTTATTGATAGCACTACAGAATCACAGATCATGCATTTCAGCTTAGTTTCTTGTTTTACAGAGGAAACAACAATCAATTCAATCGAAGATCGGGGTCCTATTCTTCTAGAGGAAGATGTAGAGCTACCTTCATTTAACTTAGATACTATTGCCAATGCTACTAACAACTTCTCCTCCATAAATAAAATTGGTGAGGGTGGTTTTGGTCCAGTCTACAAGGTACCTTATTAATTTATACATTATGATTCGTTGTGAAATGAACAATCTTAATTCTTCTTACCCATGATTTTTCTTATATACTTTTTATCTAATAACACTTTTTTTTTCTTTTATAGGGTCTGCTCTCATCTGGGCAAGAAATAGCAGTAAAAAAGCTTTCTAAAGATTCTAGACAGGGGCTTGTAGAGTTCAAGAATGAGGTTGCCTTGATTTCAAAACTTCAACACCGGAATCTTGTGAGGCTGTTAGGATGTTGTATTCATAGAGAAGAAAGGATGTTGATCTATGAGTTCATGCCGAGAAAGAGCTTGGACTTATATATATTCAGTTAGCCACCTTACAAAATCTAATCAGCTATTTCATATTGTTTGTGCTTATGGTCTAACGGCATTGAAATTTAACTCCATGAATTTGAAATGATAACAGATCAAACTAGGGAAACAACTATTGATTGGACGAAGCGCTTTGATATTATTGTTGGGATTGCACGTGGACTTCTTTATCTTCATCGAGATTCAAGATTGAGAATTATTCACAGAGATCTTAAAGCTAGTAATATACTTTTAGACAGTGAGATAAACCCTAAGATTTCAGACTTTGGCTTGGCAAGAATTCTTGGAGGTGAACAAACTGGAGTAAATACTAAAAGAGTAGTTGGTACATAGTAAGTTCAACATCTCTCTATTTGTATTCATTTTATACTATAGTACAATATTCATATTTGTTGGGGAGATACCAC